GCATGGCCATCCTCCCTAGGGGGTGATTTCTTGGTTTCTGTCTCTCTGTCTCTCTCTTCCTTTCTGGTGAGTGCACATGCCCTATAGCAAAAACTTCTCCAAAAAAAAAAAAAGAATAAGTCAAATATTTTTAAAATAAACAGGTTTTTTCCCATTAATTTTAAACCAATGAAATGAAAATTAAATCTTCTAGCAGCAATTAAATAAATGGATGTCAATCAGATAGGAAACTGCCAAAGAAATTAACTAAGGGATAGTCCTTAATCTGTTTGGACTTTTTTTGTGGGATGGTAGAAATGTAGTCTGTTATCAGCACAGGTATGATTGAATTATTAATAATATTGTGCAAGGCCACCTAGAAACCAGAGCTTGGGGACTCTTAAATCTATTCTAATTGAAACAGAGAATCAGCAGACTGGAAAAGACCCTGACTCTTCTCAAGATATGTCACAGTATGTGACACAGAGGACACGTGGGGTTTGCAACATAGAGGCAGCTGCAAGCTGACCTCTTGGCAAATTTAATCTGCAAATGGGTTTCTGTTTAAGATAGTTAATGCCTTCCATTATTATGGAGGCTTCTTTCTGTGTTTTGGAAAGCCCTGTTAAAAATATTTCATGCCAGGTTATTATGCAGATTGTCTAGCTAACAAGAAGATTATGGATGCAAATAAATCAGATTTTGAAATAAAGGGCTTTACTGACCTCTTAAGAGGATAGTAATATGTGCATAATGGTGAGGAAAATGCTCCTAGATCATCAGGAACAGACATGGATCACATTGTCATTCCCTGAAGTGTACTGGGGTTGGAATAAAACTCAGGACCACCCCAGAAGGGAATGAACTGAATTCAAGAATTGTTCTGCTTCCTACTAAGTTACCCCTCTTTGGTCTGGATTGAATGTGGGGGAATGTCATGGTCTAGGAGGATGGATGAGCTCCTCCAGGGACCCAGAGTAAGTCACTTAATTCCTCAGTGTAAATTTTCACTGTGGGAATAGTCAGTGGTCAGAAACAGCTGGGGTCATCACCCTGCCTCTTTCTGTGGCCTTCCACTGCGCCCTCTCTTGACCCCCCAAGGGAAATCTTCCCACTATTACTTTTCTATGGACCAGCTGCTTTGTCCTCAGTGTCTGCCTTCAGGAGCTGATCAGAAAGATTTTAAAGGGAACCAGGAGGTTTAAAATACAGGGTTTATACTGAGGGGAGCCGGGAGTTGCACCCCAATTTTGACACTGAGTGTGCTTCTGGGCAAGTTCCTCCACACTCTAGACTATCAGCTTCTCCAACTATGGTCCACAAACATTCCAGGCCAGAGTTTTCCACACTGCCACACTCTCTGTTCACGGAGTCCTTAGTGTCTCAGTCATTTTTTCACAGAGCCCCCTGTGCCAAAAGAAATAGTTAACAGTTCCTTTATTAAATAGCTCGTCCCAAACAACTTACTGTGGATTGATGCCCAAACAATTTAGTGGCCTTTTGAGAAAATAGATATATGAAAAGAAAAAAGTGTGCTTCTGCTTGCTAGAAAAAATGAGAAAGTCCCCCTCCCCCACAATGGGGGATGGTCATGCTGCAATCCCTTCTCCTTCATTTCTCTTTTTGGGATTTTGGGCATACACACATGTACCTGATATGTTTTTCTTCTTTTTCTTTTTCTTGAGAGATTTTTGTTGTAGGGCACATGTGCTCACTGGAGAGACAGAGAGACAGAAAGTAAGAAATCACCCCCCAGGGGGCATGGCCATGCTGCAATCCCTTCTCCTCAATTCTGCCCTCGGGATTTTGGGCATGCACACACACACACACACACACCTGGCTTGAGTTTTAAGCTGCAGGGTCCGGGACTTGAACTACAGTCTACTATGTAGGAGTCCAGTAACATAATAATTATTCCATCTGCTGGTCTCTAGCTGCTGTGTTTTTCAAGACGCTGGGTCAAGGACTTGAGCTGAGTAGTTAGCTATGTGAGAGCCACCTGCCTTAACCAAATGCTACCAGCTGACCCACAATCATTTAATTTCTAGGTAACCACAGTACTTGCTAATGGAATGTGTGTGCCTATTGAGCCCTGCCCAATTTCTTGAATCTTGGAATGAGACTTCGGCTTCCACGTTGATTTTAGCAGCAGATTTTGTTTATCACAGCAACTGCTGAAAACCCAGCTTTGCAAAGATCTAACATGTAGCTAGATCCAGGGATCTACCTCAAGGTGATAATTTGCATGGTATCTAAGAGAAGTTTTTCCTTTAAAAATGAAAAATTAGGGACCAGGTGGTGGTGTGGTGAAAATACAATGCTCTGGAATGCTTACCCAAATGAGAAGGTTCTGGGTTCACATCTAGCGACCTCCCTAAACATGCAGAGTGTAAGTGTGCCCATGATCTGGAGCTGGCTGAAACTGAGGGTAAAAAGAGACATGGAGACCTGGGGTGGCCTCTCTCTATTTCTCTCTCATACTCATTCTTTTTTTTTTTTTTGAGAGAGATTTTTGCTATAGGGTGCGTGCGCTCGCAGGACAGACAGAGAGACAGAGAGATAGAAAGCGAGAAATCACCCCTCGGGGGCATGGCCACACCGCAATCCCTTCTCCTCCATTCTCCTCTTGGGATCTTGGGCACGCACACACACGCGCCTGGCATGAGTTTTAAGCCACCAGGTTCAGGACGCGAACCGTGGTCGACTAAATGGGAGTTCAACATAGCCATTATGCTAACTGCTGGTCCCTCATATTCATTCTTTCCCTCACATTTAATTTTTTTTTTTTTTTTTTTTTGGAGAGATTTTCACTGTAGGGTGCGTGCGCTCGCCAGACAGACAGAGAGAGACATACAGAAAGTGAGAAATCACCCCCCAGGGGGGATGGTCATGCCGCAATCCTTTCTCCTCCATTCTCCTCTCAGGATCTTGGGCACACACGCACACGCGCCCGGCGTGAGTTTTAAGCCACCGGGTCCGGGACACAAACCGTGATCGACTATGTGGGAGTCCAGCGACATAGCCATTACGCTAACTGCTGGTTCCCGATCTCATACTCATTCTTTATATCTTTCATTCATGGAAGAAAGACAGAATGTGATCTTTTTTTTTTTTTTTTTTAATTTCTCACAATGCCTTTTTAAGTTTGCTATGGTACCCTAAAGTGCCTCAGACCACTTTGAGAATCATGGTTCTAGATATAATTTGATTTTAGAGGATGAAATGTGAGAATGTATACAGAAAATTTGGCTTTGAATATGTTTGTAAAATGGTACCTGCTGCTGTTCTTCTGCTCAACAGATTTTTCTCTATGGTTGTTTTTTTTTTTCCATAAAGAAGAAAAAAACAGTTTTTCTCTTGTGGGAATTAAATGCTGCCAATACTTGATCAGCTGGTTTGAACATCTAGCAAAGCACTGCTGACTGTGGAGGTAAAATGCCTAGTTATGAGAAACTCTCCATTTTGGTAGGGAGATGGATGGAGTAAACCCATAGGACACAATAGTGAATAACCCAGAACTGCTAAGTAGTAAAGTAGCATAGGATCCCAAAGGAGTGGAAAAGAGAAGTGATATAGGAAGGCAGGAACTGACTTGGGCCTTGACAAACAAAAACCATTAGGATTAGACTAGGGAGAAAGGAGGCTCTCCCAAAAGGACACTTGTCCAGAGTGAAGTCTGGTGCTTTTCCACACTACAGCAATGGGTAGACCTTGGGGGAATGTTCAGATCCACTGTGTCCTTAGCACTTTCTCCAACTTGTAAAAACCAAAGAGCACACAGGTGCTATTATATTCTATCATAACGTTAATTCCCACAAGTGTTCTTTGACCACTGGGTACATGAAAATTTCCAAGAGGAATATAAGCCAAGCTGTGAGAACACTCAAATAAGAAACAATCATTTTAACCAATGTCCAGCAGAAGCTGTGTAGGAAAGCGCTGCTTGAGCTGAACTTATGAAAATGACATATAGATGGCTTAAAATATGTAGTTGCAGAGACTAGCAGATGGAGTAATGGTCACGCTAGACTCCCACATAGTCAACCACAGTTCAAGTCCTGGACCCAGTGGCTTAAAACTCAAAATGGGTGCATTTGCATGCGTGCCCAAAATCCCAAGAGGAAAATGGAGAAGGGATTACAGTGTGGCCATTCCCTCCTGGGGAGTGATTTCTCACTTTCTGTCTCTCTGTCTCTCTCTGGCAAGTATAGGCATCCTATAGTAAAAATCTCTCTTAAAAAAATGTAGTTGCAATAGTTCATCAGCTCACTTGTGCAAAAATGCAGCTTTATTTTTAAACTTCTTCTACTGCTTATGGCAGAAAACATAGTCTTGCCAACTGGTGATTACCAATAACTTTCAGATTGAACTGATCATTTAAAATCTAAACATTTAATTTTACACCCATGAAACCCTCCTTTACCTTCTCTCTTCCCTATCAGAATGGTATCCCTGTACCATCTTCTGTCCTCACAGGAAACATAGGAGGAGCCTCTCACCTTTTCTGGTCTCCTGTGTGGGCCTTCATCACTGCAGTGTCTCTGCCAGGAGCAACTTATCTTGCCTGGTCTACTTTAATAACTTTTCTTTGCTGTAGATTGCTCTTTTCATTTTAATCTGTTATATGAGGTGTAGTTGACATTTCTTAACATTTTCTAGTTCTTTTCTTGTTTGTTTGGGTTTTTTGTTGTTGTTATAGGTCACATGGGCCCACCAGAGAGCAATGGGGGGGATATCAATCCCCCTCAGGAGGATGGCCATGCCATAGTCCCTTCTTCTCCACTCTACTCTTGGAATTTGGGGCATGCACACATGAGCACCCAGCATAATTCTCAAGCCACTGGGTCTAGGACTCAAACCATGAAGCTGGCCATGTGGATCCAACACCTCCACACCACCTGGTGGTCCCAAATTTTCTAGTGTTCTTACGCACAATGAGTTTGACAAAAGCATTCAGTGTCATAATCACCACCAGTCATGATGTAGAACAGCAGTGTTCCATAAAAATACGAAGGGCTTCAAAACATCCATGGAGGCCCAGCCAGTGGTACAGTCAGAGTTGCAGTGCTGCAGGCCCATGGCCAACTATGAGTTTGGATGGCTGGGTTGACTTGAAAATATGGCAGACACAGGAGGAGCTGGAGGGCTGGGGCAAGGGGAGTCACACAGTAGCAGGACCCTGTTGAAGGTACTTCTCTCTCTCCCTTTCTCATGCATATGCTGTCTTAGGGTGAATTTAAACATTGTTTTCAGTTTATAGAAAAATGGGATTGAAGTACAGGTTTATTTTTGGTGAAAAACTTTTGAAACCCATGCATAGTTTTTCATAATACTCATTATCTATGAACTTTTAGAAGATCCCTTAGAAAATGTAAGCCGCAAATGTAATTTAAAAGTTTCTGGCATCCTCATCTTTTAAAAAATACAAGAAACAGGTGAGATCAATGTAAATAATATATTGTATTTAACTTACATCCAGAAAGTATCACTTCGACATATAATTAATTAAAAAATATATTAATGGGGTGTTTTATATCTTTCACATTAATTACTAAAATTCATTGTATATTTTTCTTTTTTTTTAGCATTTTTTTGGGGGGGAGGGAGAGGTTTTTGCTATAGGGCATGTGTGCTCACCAAAAAAAAACAGAGACAGAGAGACAGAAAGCGAGAAATCACTCCCCAGGGGATGGCCACGCCACAATCCCTTCTCCTCCAATCTCCTCTCAGGATCCTGGGCACACATGCATATGCACCCGATGTGAGTTTAATCCACCAGGTCCAGGACTTGAACCGTGATTGACTATATGGGAGTCCAGCGAAAGAGCCATTACACCAACTGCTGGTCCCAAAATTCATTGTATATTTTCAAACTACGGCATATTTCAGTTTAGACAATAGATTTTCTTTCTTTCTTTTTTTTGAAGAGGTTTTTGCTATAGGGCGCGAGTGCTCGCCAGACAGACAGAGAGAGACAGAGAGACAGAAAGCGAGAAATCACTCCCCAGGGGATGGCCACGCCACAATCCCTTCTCCTCCATTCTCCTCTCGGTATCTTGGGCACACACACACGCACACACACACACACACGCCCAGCGTAAGTGTTAAGCCACCGGATCCAGGATGAGAACCGCAGTCAACCACATAGGAGTCCAGCGACATAGCCATTATGCTAACTACTGGTCCCAATAGATTTTCATTTTCAAAAACTTTTGACTTGTATTTAGATTTTGTAAAATTCACAGTTGAAACAATAGATCCAAATGTCCAAGTGATTCCAAACATACAAGTTTATATAATTTAAACTTGACTTAATTTAAATTTTATATAATTAAAAATTCAGTCCTTTAGTTGTACTAGTCATATGACAAGTGTTCAGTAGCTAATGTGTCCAGGGGCCACCACACTGACAGTAAACTTTTCTACCACCCCCAAATGTTGTCTCCTGCTCTTTTAAAAATCAATCCCATCCTACCACCACTGGGCCCTGGCACTAGCAACCAAGATTTGCCATTTGTCTCTATGGTGTTGCCTTTTTTAGAATGTCACATAAATGAAATCATACAGCATCCAGCCATCTGTTTCGAACTTCTTTTACTTACCACATTAACTCCAAGATTTATCTATGCTTCATTTATCAGAAGTTAGCTCCTTTTAGTTGCTGAATATTATTACAGTATATAAATGTTCTACATTAACCAGTTGACAGACATTTGGGTTGTTCCAGTTTCTGGCTATTATAAATAGAGCCATTGTGACATTCAAATATAAATGTTTGTGTGAACACATGTTTTTATTTCTATTAAATATTAAAGTGTGGATTGAATGGTGTATTTTTATCTTTATAGGGAACTATCATATATTGTCCAAAGTGCTATTTTTAATTCCCACCAGCAGTATATGAGGGTTCCAGTTGCTCCACATACTCACCAACATGTGATATTGTTAGTCTTAGCCATGCTAGTAGGAGTGTAGGAATATTTCACTATGGTTTTAACTTGTAGTTCTTTAATGACTAATAATGTTGAACATATTTCCAAGGGTTTATTTTCTGTTTGTATATCTTATCTCTGTTTAGTATTTACTATTCAAACGTTTTGTCTTTTCAAATATTTTAACCTATTTTTATGAGGTCATCTGTGTATGTGCATGCATGTATATGTAGGTTTTTATTTATTTATTTTTAGACAATCTCACAGTGGCATGCTCCCCTTGCTTCAACTTCTCAAATAGCTGGGATTAAGGTTGCTTTTTATTACTAATTAACTGGAGTTATTTTAAATAGGCTGGATTAATTTTTTTATTCAATATGTTGCACATATTTTCTCCCAGTCTTGGCTTTAGTGTGGCTTTTTTGTATCTAGTTCCTGATGATGTAATTATCTGCTGTTGCTAGATGTGGTCTTATAGTGACCTCCAACACAACACCCATGTACTTATCTTGACTCCTAGCACCCTTGGTTCTACCAGAGCATTCTCAATTATTTCCTGTTTTCTCTCAGGGACCAAGACTTTCAGCAGTTTCTTTTATCCTATGACAAAGTTGTAGGACTCCAAGAACATGTCTTTAGTCAGTCTACATGAACGGTATCACTGATCACTCAAGTATCATGTCATTTAGACATGACTTTTCTCCAAGAAACTTATTGTCTCTCTGGACTACACTTTAGGACTTGAGATGTAAGTCCCCTCAGCCATGTGTGGAATTTTTCACAAACTATCCACAGTCTCTGTTACTCTATCCCAGGACTGATTAAGTCTTATCAAGAGTCATAGTAGGTATCTAATCTCTAGACTTACCCTTTTGATATTCTTACTTCCTGCCACTTGGTCAAACTTTGGTTTCCTTGCTTAATGTCCTTATGCAATCGACTTGCATTCTTCCCTTTTTATTCCTCATAGATTTAGTGCCAACCTTCCAATCTTCTAGAAATTGTTAATTAGTATTTAAAGCCAAGCTTTTGATCTCCAAAAATCTTTTTTCTTGTTCTCTCAGGCACCAGACTCTTAAAAATAATGATAATAAACCCATTACATGTTAACATTTAAGAATCATGGGCTCTAAAATTCCCACTATGTTATAGAAGTCTAGTTCGAAACTCATAAACAAAGAATATTGTATGCTGGTCTTTCTGGTTCTCCCTTCTTCCTAACTTGAGTTCACAAAAAGAGCTAACTCTACTACTGAATGGTAGATCCAAGGAAAAGGTGAGAGAGCATCCTTTTAATTCAACAGAGTATTTTCATGCTGCAGTTATTCCCTGTAGTTACAGAAGTCTCTGAGAGGATAGTCCCTAAAGACATAAGAATATCACTAAAGACTTAGAGGCAAGAATGCACAGAACATATAATAACAATGATAATTACATGGTCTTGGTAGTGGCAGTATCTATCATTTGGCATCATTTGACACTATGCACCCACTCTAGCTTATGCATTTTGCTCCTACGATCCTGTAAGGTCAACAGTCATCCCAATTTTGCCGAATAAGAAATGGAGTATTCTAATATGACTTTAACTTTCTTAAGGTCAAAAAGATATTAGTATCGGGACCAGCAGTTAGTGTCATGGCTATGTCACTGAACTCCCACGTAGTCGACCGCGGTTCGCGTCCCGGACCTGGTGACTTAAAACTCACGTCAGGCACATGTGCGTGCATGCCCAAGATCCCAAGAGGAGAATGGAGGAGAAGGGATTGCAGCATGGCCATCTCCCCTGGGGGGTGATTTCTCGCTTTCTGTCTCTCTCTCTGTCTTTCTGGTGAGCATACACACTCTATAGGAAAAAACCTCTACAAAAAAAAAACATTAGAAATTATTGAGAACCCCAAAGAACTGCCATTTATGCTGCTAGCATCTACTGATACATCATTAAATTATTTATTAGCTCATTTAAAAATAACAATAATAAGGGCCGGCAGGTGGTGTGATGATTAAGGTCCTGTATTCCCACATGTCCGACCGCAGTTTGAAACCTGGACCTGATGGCTTATTTTCTCACTTTTTCTTTGTCTCTCTCTGGTGAGCACATGTGCCCTATACCAAATTTAAAATAATAATAATGATTAATAAATGTAGATAATCTTTTAAAATAGCAATAATAAATGTATTACACATTAACATTAATAAATACTTTCATGAAAATTATTTTTCAAAACCAAACAGAACAGTATCACTTTATAGTTTTTGCAAATCATTTGAATGTCTTGCTTAATAGAGAAAAGTTAGATTCTTATATCTGCTTCTTGCCTTCAGCGTGTTGCAATACTACATATTATGTAGCCTCTGGAAAACTCCAGTTCGCACTCATGAGCAAATAAAAGAAAAAGGCAAATAACATCTTAGGAATATAAAAATAGTTTTTTATCTGTGAATTCCATAAAGGTATTTTAGGATGTCTAGAAGTGCTCAGACCACATTCTGAGAATTGCTGCATTAGGAAAATGAAAGGTATGTTGAGTCTAAATAGTAAAGTCTACATACAGAGAAGAAGTGAGCTATGAATTGGGAAGTATAGAGTGGGACCAGATCACAGGAGGATGATTACCAAGCTGAGGAGCTTGTATGTTCTTCTGACAGCACTGGAAAACTAGGTGGCTTCTGGCTTGACTAGAGCTTTGTGCAGGGACAGTTAGTCCATCAATAAAATAAAATGGATTGGAAAGAGGATAGGGAAAAGACAACCACTAAGAACACTTCATTTGTTTTAAGAATTATTTAATTTTGTATTTATTATTATTTTCATTTCACCAGAGAGAGACACAGAGAGAGGGAAAGTTAGAAAGCAACCTGCCAGGTCTGGGACTCAAACCATGGCTGGTCATATGGGAGTCCAGCATCCCCATCACCACACCACCTACTGGCCCCAGCACTAAGAGCTCTTTAAAGATCCAAGGTACCACAGTATACCTGGAGCCATACCTCAGGGAGGTTTTTTGACAATTAAATGTCTTAATCTGTATAAAATGCATAAAGTGAAGCCAGGATCACTAGTTAGTGTTTGTACTAGAAGCACTTGTTGTAGTTATTGTTGATAGTAGTAGCAGTAATACTATTGCCATTGTTGTTAATATTATATGAATAGTAATAAAAGCTTGAATGGAAGAATTGGACAGTTTTCAGTAATGTTCATAGAATGTAATTGCTGACTGGATGCGAGGTGAGCAAATAAAAATAATAAGATAATAAT